ATTGCATCCTCCATATCAGTCAAATATGCAGCTTTTGGACAATGTAAAAAGATTAGGAGAATTTCTGTTATTATTTGAAGTACATTCTGAACACATTTTATTCTTCAGTAGCTAAGCCAAAATAAAAAAAATGGACTCGGGTAGGTTTCTCTTCTGCTAAGAGGACAAAATGCTATGAGATATTCTGTGCAAGCATGCAGAGTTTGTGTATTGAACAAAAGAAAGAAAAACTGAATGTGAAAGAAAATTCCAGCTTCCCAAGGATCCCTGCTGCTACACTCAGTTCATTGTTTAATAAATAAATCTGTTCAATTCCAGAAAGCTTTGCTGTACAAGCAGGATGGTAAGAGCTTTAGGACTTACACAAGCAATTCCTAGGACAATAAAATTCAAGCATGTCAACAAGAGTTGAGCAATAGAGACTAAGTATCTGCCTTCTTTTAAAAAAGGGGGTTTCTTTTAAAAAAAGGTTAAAAAGCTATTTTCATGTGCATGATAGCCGTTATTTTCTATTTTCTCTAGGAACTAATTCAGTATAGAATTCTACTTAAGATGATTTAGCAAGCACAACCTAGCAATTAGATTGAGAAATACAGTCCCACCGAGTTTTGTGCATACATACGCTGCGTACCAGGAGATGCTTTCCCAAAAGTGTAACAGGGGCAGAGAAAGGCTGAGAGCAGCCAGAAAAGGAATTCAGCACATGAGGCAGGAAAATTGTCCATTGGTACTGGCAATGAAAAAAAACACAACAAGAATGTAGGTTTCATTTCCAGCCCTGGGTTACAAGCACCAATCAATCCAAGCCAGGATTTATAAGCACAAACCAACAGTTTGGCAGACAGGCAAGTAATTAAGCTTCATTTGTCTGGAACACGGGTTTGGTTGTTTCAGGCCGTAAAGCTGTTCTCTTCCATGCCATAACAGAACCTTCTGACTTTATAAGGCAGGTGTGCTTAACTATCAAGCACAAGACTTTAAGTGAGTTTCCCAGGACCATTATGTTTTTTGCTGCAGCCTAGAAGAATGTAAAGCTCACGCAGAGTCACAGTACCACTTGATTTCACATCTGTTTATTGCAAGTGATTGATTCCATCAGGACTGATGCTAGACCATCAACTGAGAAACTGTTTCACCACCATTTCAGGTAAAATTACATAACCTTTGAGTCTTTGGTTTTCCTATCTGTAAAATGGTAAAGTTGATCAGTTTTATAGCAGCCTTTTGATGGCCTCAGAAGAAAGTTAATATCTAAAGGGCAAATTAGTACTATTCATCCCAAAATGCTAATACATAGTGTTACTTTTCAATGCTTCTATTATCAAATGGGGAAAACATATTTCTGAGCATCTCTAAAAATAAGAAAGGATTTTTTGTCAAATTTCCTTTATATGGAGCACTGACAGCTCTCAGTGCAGTAAGCCAAGTCTGATTTTTGCACTACATCTGCAATATCTTTTATACTTGGGCAGCTGGCATGGAGTGAGAAAATTCATTAACATGCTAATGATGTGTCCTATTTAAAATTCCAGCTCTGATTATTGTGTGATTAAGTCTCTTTCCTTGATGCCTGCTTCCTTATATCCGCATTACTGTGAGAAATCAACAATTATTAACAATTTAAAAAATAGGTGACCAATTTATACACGAGAGAAAGACAAACATACATATTTTAGCTTTTTTGTCGTTGTTTAATGCTTTCCAGACAAAGCGTTATCATCTTCAGTATAAAAAAAAAGTTTTCAAGAAGTTCACAGGCACAAAACATAACAATTCAAGTGCCAGATGATGTAGAAATAGACATGTATAAGAATACTACTGCAGAGGGTTTTAAGGTGCTATATAAATAAAGAGGGAGGGCTCCTTAATCAGGTGAAGTAAAAGACTATGCCTTGGAAACAACTGATAAGCAAGACTGCAGAGACAACAGGTCCAGCTGATCTGATTACCTTTGTCAAAGAAAAAACAAAAAAGCATCTCCTTTATACAGTGAAAGATTTAAAAACCCACTGACATATTTCAACTAGGATAAACCTTCAGAGATTAAGATCTTAGAATCATAGAATGACTTACATTGGAACAGACCACAAAGACCATCTACATCCAGTCCCTCTGCCATGGGCAGGGGCACCTTCCACTAGACCAGGTTCCTCAAAGCCCCATCCAACCTGGCCTTGAATGCTGCCAGGGATGGGGTATCCACAACTTCTCTGGGCAACCTGTTCCAGTACATCACTACTCTCACAGTGAAGACTTTCTTCCTAATATCTAATCTAAATCCACCAAATTCCAGTTTGATGCCATTCCCCCTTGTCCCATCACTACATGAAGACCCAGGAACCTCTTTCTCTGCATTGCTTTCAGTAACCTATGTTTAGTTTATGGACAGACACCTATTTCATATCAAAGTCAAAGCATAACACAAGTGTGCCACAAGGAGTAATCACATGTAACACCTGTACTGCACACCAGGACACAGATCAGCCAGCCTAGCCCTGATAATCTTTGCTATTTCAGTTAAGAAGCCCTTCAGAACAAGCTAATAATACTGGGCAGAAAGCTATTAATAAAATCCAGAGGACATTAACATCCTCAACTAGTAGAATTAGATGGAGAGGACTTCTCTCTGGCTTGTAGCTTTAAGTAGAAATTGTCAACCTAACCAAGAATGGGCAGCACCAAGCAATGGTACAACTCACACTAATTTTACTCACAGCATAGAGCACCTGAACCTGTGGTGCCCTACTAGCTCAAGGAACAAGCACCATATGAATCATGTACCTGCCAGACTACACTTCCCCAAAATTCACAGTCACCAAAACCAATGGGTTAACATCCCTTGCCATCAGAAGTCCCACACTCCTGCTGCACCTCTCATGCTGAGGCTGGCAGTCCCACCACACACTGGTGGGTGACATGGGCATGCCACCAACCAGCTCAAACTAGGTTTCTTGTCTACACTGACCTAGTGTATGGGATGGGGCAGGAACACAAGGAAAAGGCAAAACTACCTTTTTCCACAGCAACACAGATTTTACTGGCACACATAAAACAGCAAACCTGAAGCTGTAAAGTAAGTCAGAAGTCAGCTCCAATACCCCAACTCAAATCACACCTTTCACAGTGCAGACAAAGCCAACACACTTACATCCAGTTCTTTTAAACAACAACCAAAACAAATGGTAACAAAATTGCATTCCAATTATTTATGTTTTATTCTCTAAACAAAAAAGTGCTGTGCAAAGTAACAACTGTTTCGTAAAGGCGGATGTCATCTTCCAGACACCATCTGCATACTGTTTTCGAGGGTGTATCAGAAGGCTTATATTCAGTGAAATGCATTGGCATGAAACTCAAACTCAGCATTCTCAAACCTGAGTGAGTTCCCATTTGTTAAAAGAGAAAATAGTGTAGATCACATGCAAAGGAGGCAGAGATGAGGAAAAGGGAAAATCTCAGATCTCAACGTATGTCCAACTAGTATCTGCTTGACAGTTTTGTTTTACACAAGGATAAATTTCTCCTTACACCTACAGAATCACAATAAATTAAAAGAACAATTCACAAAGTAAACACCTAGTTTTTTGAAATTTATTGTCATAAATTGTGGGATAGTAGAGGTCAGATCAAGGAGATAACTCCTTACATCTACATAAATGCAAAAAGTCTATGAACTACTACCAATTCTGCTGCTTCAGCAAGAGTCTTGCAGAGGCTTTATTTAAAACCCTGCTGAAGAAAAATACAAAAGAGAAGTACATGTGTATTATAGGAAGCTTAATTGTCCTAGAAACAAAAGAGAAGTAAAGAGAAACAAAATGGACTGATTAGAAGGTCAGAACCCTTTTCAACTCACTTGCAAATCCAGGCAATGAGGAAGCACTGCCAGATGTGCATTTGTGGGTTTGTATCACAATGCACTAAGTCTGAGGAATAATTGTTAGAATTTTTATCTCTATTCTAAAAAAGAAAGTTCTTACCTAGTATTGTGAATATACATATTATTCTATGCATTTAAAAACCACTTAGATGTACCCAATTGCCTTTGTTTCTAAGATAGCTCTTTATCTACTGGCCTATGAAGAAACTTCATATACTTTTGAAACCAAGGCACCTTCCTCTCTTCAACCAACCTACTGCTCATAAGACCCTGAAAAAGGAAAGACATTTCAAATCCCTAGAGCTTTAAAGTAGTTCTCAGCAATACACTTAGCTGTTTAGAGGTAGCTATAGTAACAGTACATTTGTAGTCAATCAAACGTTCCTTAGCCTTTTCATTTAAGCAAGCAGCAAGCACTTTATCTGCTTAACTTTAGGTGAGAGTACAGCAGAAAAGAGAGTAAGCCAAGCCTAGGAATGACTTGGCTATTTGATAATTTGTCAGTAGCTTTCCCAGTAATTGCAGACAACCTCTCTAATTCCACCATGACACTACAACCCAAGCACACTGCTTACAGTTATATGAAAGCCGCATTTGGCAAGCTGTTTATACGCCCTTTCAAACATAAATTTACTATGAGAACATTTGCTTTCAGAGTCAGGCGTTCCTTGCACCTCATATGTTCAGACCATTCACCAAATATGTTATATATGTACACACTAAACATGTAGCTATAGATACTAAATGTGTTCCTATTGTCACAGACACATCTACTGCTTCCACATAAGCCTATACATTCCCCTGTATGTGAATACATGCACAGTACCATCATCACTATGATAAAAATGGGCTTAGAAAAGAAAGGTTTTGAGAACTGGGCTAAGACAGATTTCAAAATGTTGTATATTGCTGGGATATCCCTTCTCCCCCATGGCCTCCCTCACCTTCAGTGGAAGCAGCTTAGTGGATATTGAGCATATTGCTTATCTAGGTCCTGGCCAAATTTTTCTCAGAAAAAAAATATTATGCTTTGTGAAATGCAGAATTGTTCACCAAATCGAGCACATTTCCCAGAGCTCAGGAGTGAGCAAAAAGCTGTAACAACCTGTAAGCTACTTACCAAAGGCAGTCTCTCCCTGTTCAAGCTCTTGTTTCAGTCTGGTGTAATCATCCTTAATTCTCTCTAATTTTCGGACATTTCTGGCACTCAGAACCAACAGTTCATTGAGAAGTCCTTCCAGTCCCTCCTTCTCAGTTGTTAATGATCTTATTTCTTCTGTGAGATCCTTCGCAGTGCCAAAATTACTTCCTGCATGTTTTGTCGGGGAAGGAGGAAGAAAGAAAAAAGACAATGAAGCAGATACTTGCAACATCAGTAGGTTACACAGCAATCCCGGGAAATTAGGCAATTACACTTCTCAACAGCAACTGAAAGACCTATCTGGGGGAAAAGAAAGAAAAGCAAAAACTGCTTTGCAAGCATCTATTTCATTAACACTACAAAAAGAATAATAGTTGTTGCTGATTTAACCTTATACACACAGAAATGGTATTTTCTTTTTGGTGCAATTTATGTTTTGCTGGAAACATGTTCCTAAGGGTTCACACTTCAGATAATGTCATACTGTGATTCATTGATCACTGCGGTGTGATCTGTCAGACCATTTCCTTCTTTTGGAGGACACCTCAACTCACAGTATTTTTGAAACAGAGGCTGTCAAATTGCTACTCCCTGAAGTACTTCCTCCTTGAACAAAGCAGCACTATGCTGTTGTTCATAACAAGCACCAGAAAGTTGTTTATAAATTACACGTTGCACTTCTTAAATGGCATGCACCTCATGCAAAGACCATCAGGAGATGTTCTTCTCAGTCTATTCAGAAGTCAACAAGTCTCTACTTCTGGCTCTCTCTGAAGCATGAAACCTCAGAGACAGGTAGAATACCTTAGCAGCACCAGCTTCCACTGTTCTGGTGGTTTTAAAAATATTCTGCTCCTTTGGACTTGAATTCAGAGTCAAAAGTTCAACTCCCAACTGGTTTACACTGTAGCCTAGTAACATTTGCCCACTTAACCATTCTGAAAACCATCTTTGTAAGCAGCTGGAGGGGAACATTTCCTTACCTCACAAATAAATCTTCTGTAATAAATTGAAAATGATAGTAAGATACTCAGCCATTAAAATATTTTAAATAGCTGTAGAGTAACTATTACAATGCTACATTTATATAGCTGTACCCAACTCTTTTCAATGACTGAGATACTTGGCTGGGGGGGAAAAAAAAAACCACGCACAAGAAAAACAAACAAAAACACCCACCACACTTTTAAGAACACATGACAAAAAATTTTTCCATGTAGAATTGCCCAATAAAAGACAGAAGATCTCTAGAGCCCAAGAGTTCAACTTTGGCATCATCATAACTTAGCAAAAAGCTTGTGCTATGATCTAATAAGTAAAGGCATCTAGCAAGTCAAGGCACTTAGAAGACAGCCTTGAAGCAAATATTAACATAAAACACATCCAGTCACACATATAAGATATCTCATCAGCTTCTGAAGTATGTGCAATGCCTTTAGACTTATGAAATGGCTTTATAATACCAGTAGAATTATTCAGATATAAGGGTTTCTTCAGTTTTTGTTTCAGAAATATAATAAACTTCTGCTTAGGCATATTTAAAAGTATATTTTCAAATATTGAAGAAATAATCTAAACCATCAAATCCACATCAGAATATCCTAAATTGTGGCATTCTGTTCTTTTGACCTGGTGTCTCAAAAGCATTGGTCAAAGTCTTAAACAGGAATGGTTTGGGGCTGCTGTTCAGTTTCTTCAAGACAAGGGAATAAGAATGGGATGCAAGTATTTACACTGGTCAGAAGATGGCAAACCACTACTAGCTGCTGTCAAGAGAGGCTCCATTACTCCAGAGTGCAAGAGTGAATGGGAGCACCTTTGGCAAATAACTACAACCACTCTCCTGGAGGAAAGATGCTGTTGCAAACTCAAGTGGTCATATAAGGACAGGTGTGCCAAACAGAGGCTGCACATTCTAAAATTTTGGGAAATACTGTATCAAATAAGTAAGGTTTAAAGACTGAACAATGCCAAGTGTGGTAGTCCTGCTTTGTGTTTGTTTTTTTGGTTGTTTGGTTGGTTGGGGTTTTTTATCCAAAGGCTATGGTAGTTTCAGTCAACCTCTTCTGGACTTAAAGCAGATGTTTTCTTGGGGATTTTGAGTTCAAAAGCCCCTGGCTTCCAATTCCCAGCTAAACCCCTGTTTGCCAGTTCTGTCTTACACAGAATTATACAATTAAATAATTATGAGTATGCTTTACCAATAGTAAGATCTTATGGCTTACCAGTGCATTTACTGGGAAACAACAGCACAAATATTATCTTTATCTGTCACATTTCCAAATGGGCAAAACAAAGCAGCAAGATAAGCAAGACAAAAATCACTCGAAAAAGGGCAGATACTCAGATGCTTCTAAGGCAACAAGAATTAAACAGTTCACCTTTATGCACCTGAACTCATCCCAAGCATCAAAACACAGGAGCCTTAATAAAACATGAAGGCAAGAAAATCTTCATTAGAATTTGGAGCCTGCTTTTACATTTCAGTAGACAGCAAGGAAAAAGATATGATATTGCATATGAAAGTTTTATACATACTGAATGGATCTTAAATCCCAGAGGAGAAGTTTATATCAAAACTGAAGCTATAAGAAAATGGCACCTGCCCAAATGTAAAAAAACCCACCCTACCTGATGCAGCTCCCCATGACAGCAGAAATATCTGGAAGTCTGCAGTGAAAATTCAGAAGAGCATATAAAACTCATACACCACAAGTGCCATCAGTGAACTCTGACCTCAATCACAGTAACTAAAGTTACTGGTTTCTAAATGTCATAAGAAGGTTGATTTAAAAACTAATATATAATCCATAGCTACCAGCATTAAAAAACATGACCTCCTGGGTTTTTTTGTTTGTTGAGACAAAGTCATAGTGGATGCTATAGAAACATTCTGAAGACATATGTCAAGTTCTTTTATTCTGCTAATATCCTGAAAATGTTAACATTCCTCTTTTTTAGGATAAAAATAATTATTTTTGCCTAAGTGAACACAATAGCTGCTACTTTCTCAACCACTCAGAGCTATGTTTTATACAGCCATAGCAGTGAGAATTCTGGTTGGGTCACATTAGATAAGTTAGTCGTAATGCTTCCCAGGAAGCTCAAAAATCACTAAAGGTCCTCTTGCTCAGAACATCTGTAGACACAATAAAGCTAAGGAAATAATAGTTTAAGACTAAGGATGAGATTCTAATCTAAACCAAGAAATGAGACAGGGATTCTGTGAAGCGGACTGAAGAGCAAAATGCCATTTTTCCCATCTTTCCTCCTGTCTCACAGCGATACTTACTGGATATGTGCAATTTTAGCCACTGCATACATGTTCATAAAAACATACTGGGTGAAAACTGGTGCAGCAAATGGGGAAACAGACAAATTCAGAAAACTGTTTATAAATGCCCAGGCTAGAAAGTTTGTTGCTCTATCAGAATTTTAAATCTATTCCATTTCATAGAATCACAGAATAGTTGGGTTGGAAGGGACTTTAAAGATTACCTAGTTCCAATTCACTGCCACAGGCAGGGATAACACCCACTAAACCAGATTACTCAGGACCCCATCCAGCCTGCCCTTGAACATTTCCATTTCAACTGGAATAAGTGTGTGAAACCAACAGTGCTTGGATGAAATGAAGGGTAGGGGGAAGGAATAACCATATGAAATAAAGTTGGGATTACAATAAAATCTGAACTCATTCACATGAACTCAGCCAAATTGATTATACCTCTACAAGCACAAAACTGAAGTCATATTTTCACTTTCCAGCTAATTTGAAGTATCCAATGCTCTGAACAGGTAAAATAACATGCTTGCCGTACACTGTCATAAGGAGTTGAGTATGTACACTTCACTTCGAGGGACTGAACATTACCATTATCTCAAAAGACAGCAACAAAAACCCAGTTCAAACTTCCTCCTTAATCTTGCCCTCTGGGGCTTTTCTCCTCACATGCATCCTTCATAACCTGCTCTTTACAGATAATGACATCAGGTAAGCTCCAGCAGCTTCATGTGAATGCCAAAAATACCAGGCAGACCAAGCAAAACAACACACATTGGAAAAAATAGTAATAAAAAAAATCCCCAGGTAGAAAGTATCTACGCAGTTGCTTTTACTTACTGTAAATATTGGTGTATTTACCTTCTTTCCACTCTTCCCAAAACTTTATTTGTATGGGTACAGCTAAATAGTACTCTCCACATCAAATATATTTTCTCTATACATAGTTACATGCCACAAACTCATGCCCATTGTAACAGCTCATTGCAGATTTTACTATTCTGGGCAGATTGTTGCCCATTTAGTAGCCTTGAAATAACATATTATTATTCTGATAACATTTGTCAGCAACAAATTGACTAAAAATATGGCTTGAAATCTATCCCGTTTTGTATAATAACAACAAATGTGTTATTAATTGAACTTTATTAAATATTTCCTCCTCCAAAATGCAAGACAAAGTTAACAGCTCATAAATTTTTTATTCACTCTCATATTTATGGTAGAAATTACATACATTCAGTCACCATTATTTATATTTAAAGCAGAGAGGTAAGTCCCATCCCTACTGAAACTATTTCATTGTAGTACAAACAAAGGACCAATTTTTGCATTACTAATAGAGCATGCATATTGGATAGTGTCTTGAATATAAGAAAGAATAGACTGGTCATTCTTTACCATTATCTAGAACTTAATTCTTCATAGACTAAACACCACTACATTTAATAATTCATAAGAAAGTGAAAATTTATGTTTTAGCTTAGGGCATTTGCCACCATAGTATTTATCAAGGGCACTGGAATTCAAGGCTGAAAAATCCTCTACCCTGTGGATTAATGAGAATACAAAGAGATTCCAACACCAGAAAAGAAATTGAAGAAAATAAATATCATCCACCTACCCACAAAGAAAAGAGAAAAAGTTAAATACATGACACAAATGTAAGATTCTAGAAGCACTGCCAGTTTACTTGCACGTCTGAAAAAATAAACAGCAAATGAGGGACAGTCTACCATCTCCTGTAACATTTTACAGCATTCCAGCATATTTGAATTGCAATTATTGTTTTTAAGCAATAACACATGCCAACACTTTTATGAAGCATAACACAACTGAATGATTGATGTGATCCTGAAAGGTAATTGCCATCTAGAAGCA